ATGTATTTAGTAGAGAGAGCATTTGGCAGAGTTGGCCAGGCTGGTCTCAAACTCTTAGCCTCAAGTGATCCACCCACCTCGACCACCCAAAGTGCCGGGATTACAGGCGTGAGCCACCGCGCCCGGCTAATTTTTTATGTATTTAGTAGAGATGGCGTTTGGCAGTGTTGGCCAGGCTGGTCTCAAACTCCTAGCCTCAAGTGATCAGCCCACCTTGGCCTCCCAGAGAGCTGGGATTACAGGTGTGAGCCACCGCGCCCGGTCTGTTTCTATGTCTCTCCCTCTCTTTGTGTCTCTCTCCACCTGTACTGATGTATGTGTGTCTCTTTCTATGTCTCTCTGTCTCATTAATGTTTGGTATCAGGCTGGGCAAGGTGGCTCATACCTGTAATCCCAGCACTTTGTGAGGCCAAGGCAGGAGGATCCCTTGAACCCAGGGGTTCCAGACCAGCCTGGGCATCATAGCAAGACTACATCTCTACAAAAAATAATTTTAAAAAATTAGTCTGGCATGGTGGTACGTGCCTGTAGTCCCAGCTACTTGGGAGTCTGAGGTGGAAGGAGTGTTTAAGCCCAGGAGGTCGAGGCTGGATCAAGCCGTGATCGCACTACTCCTCTCCAGCCCGGGTGACATTGCAAGACCTGTCTCAAAAAAGAAAAGAAGACATTGAGCAGTTTCATTATCATTAGACGGGGTGAAAAATAATAAATAATAACAACAACAATAATATGTGGTGGCTCTGAGGCTGGGTGTGGTTGTTCGTGCCTGTAATCTCAATGCTTTGGGAGGACCGAGGTAGGAGGATCCCTTGAGGACAGGAATTTGAGACCAGCCTGAGCAACATAGCATGACTCCATCTCTTCCTCCCAAATACAAAAATTTGGTGTCTCTCTCTGTCTTTTAATCGTTCTTTCTCTGTCTGTCCCCACCCTACCTGCTGCCTGGTCTCTGAGTTTCTGAGTCTGTCTGTCTCTAAGTGTGTGTCTCTATGTCTCCATGTCTGTCTCGCTTTGTCTCTGTATCTCTCTCATTCATTCCTTCCCCTTCCCCTCCCCCCTCCCCCTCCTCCCCCTCCCCCTCGTCCTCCACCTCCTCCTCCTCCTCCTTTCCCTCCTCCTCCCTCCTGCCTGGCGGTTTGTTCTTGCTTCTTTAACCCTCTGTCCCTCCGCCCTTCCTCTCCGTATCCATCTCAGGCTCCCCTCCCGTCCCCAGCCTCCGCAGATGTGGGTCCTCACCTCCAGCTCTCCGCCTCAGCCCTCCCGGCTCCTCCTCCCTTCCTCTCTCTCCCTCACCAGGTCTCTGCCTCCCCCTCCCGGCGAGCAGCGCTCACTGCACTCTAGGCTCCCAGGGGGATCCCCTGGCCCCGTTAAGGCAGCCCCAGGCAGAGGACCCAGTGGAGCCCTGGGACGGGGAAGGGGGACAGCGGGCGCTGGGGCGGCTCCAACCTGGGTCCCCGCGAGCATGGGGACCCCGCATCTGCCAAAGCCGGTGGTCTCCGGCATGGAGACTTCCGAAGCCTCTCCCAGCTCCACCTTAAGCGCCCCCCCTTCCCCTTCCTGCGGAGGATGGGAACAGCCAGCTCGCGGCCCCAGGTGTCCCGGCCACCCCCGCCCGCGTGGCCCCAGAGCCGCTGGAAACCGAGGACAAGCCCCCTACCTCCTTCCGAATCCTGCCCCTTCCGCACCCCCCACCCCCAGCCAACACGAGGAGTGTTTGCTGCTGTGAGATCACCTGCTCCCCACACCCAACAACAAAATTAAATAACACCATGGGAGGGAAGAGAGGGAGGGGGAGGAGGGAGGAAGGGACGGGAGAGAAGAGAGACTGAAACTGGGAGAAGAGGCAGGAGAGGAGGAGGTGGGGAGAGCACGAAGCTGGAGGCCGACACAGAGAGAGGGCGGGAGGAGGTGAAGAAGGAGAGAGGGGAGAAGAGGCAGGAGCTGGAAAGGAGAGAGGGAGGAGAAGGAGATGCTGGATGGAGACCTGGAGTTAGGTGGCTTGGGAGAGCTTAATGAAAAGAGAACGGAGAGGGGGTGTGGGTTAGGAACCAAGAGGTAGCCCTGGGGGCAGCAGAAGGCTGAGAGGGGTAGGAAGATCAGGAGCTAGAGAGAGACTCGAGGGTTCCGGGAAAAGAGGAGAGGAAAGAGGAAAGGCACAGAGAGACGGGAGAGGAGTGGGTTTGAAGAGGGGGGGTCTCAGTCCCTGGCTGCTCTGGCATTTGGGGAACTGGGACTCCCTGTGGGGAGGAGAGGAAAGCTGGAAGTCCTGGAGGGACAGGGTCCCAGAAGGAGGGGACAGAGGAGCTGAGTGGGGGGGCAGGGCGTTGGGCAGGGGTCCCTCGGAGGCCTCCTGGGGATGGGGGCTGCAGCTCGTCTGAGCGCCCCTCGAGCGCTGGTACTCTGGGCTGCACTGGGGGCAGCAGGTAAGACCTGGGGTTCCCGGCAGGAGCCCCCGAGGGAGGTTGGAGGTGGGGGTCCCAAGGAGAGGGATTCAGGCTGCTCTCTTCCCAGCTCACATCGGACCAGCACCTGACCCCGAGGACTGGTGGAGCTACAAGGATAATCTCCAGGGAAACTTCGTGCCAGGTGCCGCCAAGGCGGGGACCCAGGAGTCCGGCCCTCCCGGCGCCTCCTTCTTCAGACTCAGGAACCTGGGTTCCCAGCTCCCTCCTCCCCTCAGGACCAGGAGTCCCAGCCCCCTCCTCTGTCCCTCAGGAGTCGGGCCAGCCTCTGAACCCCAGGGGCTCACCATGGGACATTATACATGCGCATTTCAAGTAGTGAGTGGGAGTGAGTGGAAGGAAAGTGTGGGGGTGGAGATTATGTGTGTATTTGCCGGGAGAGGAAGGTCCTGGCTCCCGCTAGGAACCGGAGGCTGGGTGACCCCGTCCCCCACCTTGTCCAGCCCTCTCTTGCAGCTTCTCTCCCCAACACATTAATAATAATCCAGTTGTGGGACAAGAGAGATTAAAAAAAGAACTACAACTCCCATGGGGCTCTGGGGTAGGTAGGCAGCAGAGGGGTAGGCTGGTAGCCCTGGGGCCTGCTGGGAGTTGTAGTTCCATCTACGATGGCTTGATGGGTTGGCTCGGCTAGGCACGGTGGCTTACGCCTGTAATCCCAGCACTTTAGGAGGCCGAGGTGGGTGGATTACCTGAGGTCCAGAGTTCAAGACCAGCCTGTCCGATTTAGCGAAACCCGTCTCCACTAAACTTGGAAACTATTCCAAGATTCTTCTAGGACCCAGGATTCTGGATCTGAGCCCAGTCCTCCCTCAGACCCAGGAGTCCAGGTCCCTAGCCCCTCCTCCCCTGGGATCTGGGAGTCCAGACCACAGCCCACTCAGCAGATGCCAGCCCCGGGATTCAGTCTCCATTTCTGACTCCTTGTCCTCCTACTCCGACCCCACCCCCAGGGCCTCCTTTCTGGGGCCTGGTGAATGCAGCATGGAGTCTGTGTGCGGTGGGGAAGCGACAGAGCCCCGTGGATGTGGAGCTGAAGAGGGTTCTTTATGACCCCTTTCTGCCCCCATTAAGGCTCAGCACTGGAGGAGAGAAGGTAAGGGGCTTGGAGGGAGGAGCTATCGAATCCACTGGGGATGGGCATGAGTAGAGACTGGGGAATGGGGTGCTGAGGTAAGACAGCAGCCTTGGGGGAGGAGGGGACACCCAGTGGGTGGAGAGAAGGCTGCTTACACTGTTAAATGGATCACTCATTCTTCCCATCCCAACCGTGGCCCCCTGGTCTCCCCATCTCTGCAGAAGCAATGAAAAGTAGAACATTTCCTGTGCCAGGCAGATTTAAAAGCTTGATGAGCCTCTAATCTCATAACCACCCCACAAAATGGGTACAATTATTATTATTATTATTATTATTTTGAGATGGAGTTTTGCTCTTGTTGCCCAGGCTGGAGTGCAATGGTGTGATCTTGGCTCACCGCAACCTCTGCCTCCCAGGTTCAAGCGATTCTTCTGCCTCAGCCTCCCAAGTAGCTGGGATTACAGGCATGCACCACCATGCCCAGCTAATTTTTTGTATTTTTAGTAGACAGGGTTTTTCCATGTTGGTCAGGCTGGTCTTGAACTCCCGACCTCAGGTGATCCATCTGCCTTGGCCTCCCAAAGTGCTGGGATTACAGGCATGCACCACCATGCCCAGCTAATTTTTTGTATTTTTAGTAGAGATGGGGTTTTTCCATGTTGGTCAGGCTGGTCTTGAACTCCCGACCTCAGGTGATCCATCTGCCTTGGCCTCCCAAAGTGCTGGGATTACAGGCATGAGCCACCGCATCCAGCCAGAATGGGTACAGTTATTAACCTTATCATATACATGCAGAAACTGACACACAGAGGTTAAGTTACGTGCCTAGGATCACACAGAGAGCCAGCACTGGCATTCAAACCAGGCAGTGTAGCATGAATGGTGGGACCTGCTTTCCAATACCATGCTGGGAACCATACTTTTTTTTTTTGGAATTGGCATCTCACTCTGTGGCCCAGGTTGGAGTGCAGTGGCCCAGTGATAGCTCACTGTAACCTCAAATTCCTGGGCCCAAGTGATCTTCCTACCTCAACCTCAAAAGTAGCTAGGACATGCCCGGGTGTGGTGGCTCACACCTGTAACCCCAGCACTTCAGGAGGCTGAGGTGGGCAGATCACAAGGTTAGGATTTCGAAACTAGCTTGGCCAACATGGTGAAACCCTGTCTCTACTAAAAATACAAAAATTAGCTGGGTGTGGTGGCATGTGCCTGTAATCCCAGCTACTGGAGAGGCTGAGGCAGGAGAATCACTTCAACCCGGGAGGCAGAGGTTGCAGTGATCCTACATCCCGCCACTGGACTCCAGCTTGGGCGACAGAACAAGACTCCGTCTCAGAAAAATAGAAAGAGGGAGAGACAGAGAGACAGAGAGAGAGGGAAAAGAAAGAAGGAAAAAGGAACGAAGGAAGGAAGGAGAGAGAGAAAGAAAGAAAAGAAAGAAAGAGAGAGAAAGAAAGAGAAAGAAAAAGAAAAGAGAGAGAAAGATGAAAGAAAGGAAAAAGAAGCTCAGGACTGCAGGACGTATGCCGTATCGCTGGCCTAAGGTTTTTGCTAGATGTGGGGTCCTCACTATGTTGTCCAGGCTTGGTCTGAACTCCTGGGCTCAAGCGATCCTCCCTGCCTTGGTTTCCCAAGGTGCTGGAATTACAGCCGTGATCCACCGTGCCTGGCCAATATCATTTCTTTTTTTTTTTTTTTTTTTTTTTTTTTTTGAGAACGGAGTCTCTCCGCGCTGTGGTCACCCCAGGCGGGGAGTGCAGTGGCGCGATCTCGGCTCACTGCAAGCTCCGCCTCCCAGGTTCCGCCATTCTCCTGCCTCAGCCTCCTAGTAGCCTGGGACTACCAGGCGCCCCCACCCAACAACGCCGGCGTTAGTTTTTTGTATTTTAGTAGAGACGGTCGGGTTCTCACCTGCTTAGCCAGGAATGGGTCCTCCATCGTCGCTGACCTCGTGAATCCCACCCCCCTCGGCTCTCCCAAAGTGCTGGGATTACAGGCTTGAGCCACCGCGCCCGGCCCAATATCATTTCTTATAAGAACCGGGATTACCTTTCATTTAGCTGCCCCAGCCAAAAGCCTTAAAGCCATTTCCCATCCCATCCTCTCTCCCTCACATCCATTTCCACTCCATGTTCTTTCTAGCCTTGCTACTAAATATTATTTAAATCCTTTCACCTATCACGCCCTCTACTGCCCCCAGTCTCATGCAGGCACCATAATCTCTCACCCAGACTGGTGGCGTAGCCTCCTCATTGGCCTGCCTCTCTACTCCCTGCAATCCATTCTCCACCCCACAGCTAGAGAGACGTTTAAAACACAAAGGAGATCATATCACTCCTGCTCACAATCCTCCTATTAGGATATGTAATAATAGCAAACATTTACGTAGCACTTACTATATGTTTGGCACTCTGGCAAATGTATTATATATATGCAGTTTATTTATTTGTTTATTTTTATTTATTTATTTGAGTTGGAGTCCCGCTCTGTTGCCCAGGCTGGAGTGTAGTGGCACAATCTCGGCTCACAGCAACCTCCGTCTCCTGGGTTCAAGCAATTGTCCTGCTTCAGCCTCCCAAGTAGCTGGGACTACAGGCATATGCCACCACACCCGGCTAACTTTTGTATTTTTAGTACAGACCGGGCTTAACCATGTTGGCCAGGATGGTCTTGATCTCTTGACCTTGTGATCCACCTGTCTCAGCCTCCCAAAGTGCTGGGATTACAGGTGCGAGCTACTGCACCTGGCTTATCTTTGTATTTTTAGTAGAGATGGGGTTTTACCATGTTGGTCAGGATGGTCTTGATCTCTTGACCTCGTGATCTGCCCACCTTGGCCTCCCAAAGTGCTGGGATTACAGGCGTGAGCCACTGTGCCCAGCCTATTTATTTATTTATTTATTTATTTATTTATTTTTGTTGTTGTTGTTGTCTTGTTTTCTGGTTTTTTGTTTTTTGTTTTTTTTTGAGACGGAGTCTCGCTCTGTCGCCCAGGCTGGAGTGCAGTGGCTGGATCTCAGCTCACTGCAAGCTCCGCCTCCCGGGTTTACGCCATTCTCCTGCCTTAGCCTCCTGAGTAGCTGGGACTACAGGTGCCCGCCACCTTGCCTGGCTAATGTTTTTGTATTTTTTAGTAGAGATGGTGTTTCACCGTGTTAGCCAGGATGGTCTCGATCTCCTGACCTCGTGATCCGCCTGTCTCGGCCTCCCAAAGTGCTGGGATTACAGGCTTGAGCCACCGTGCCCGGCCTTTTTTTTTTTTTTTTTTGGAGACAGCGTCTCACTCTGTCACCCAGGCTGGAATTCAGTGACACGATCTAGGCTCACTGCAACCTCCGCCTCCTGGGTTCAAGCGATTCTCCTGCCTCAGCCTCCCAAATAGCTGGGATTACAGGCGCTACCACCACACCCAGCTGATTTTTGTATTTTTAGTAGAGATGGCCATGTTGGCCAGGTTGTTCTCAAACTCCTGAACTCAGGTGATCTGCCCACCTCAGCCTCCCAAAGTGCTGGGATTACAGGCGTGAGCCAACACATCCAGCCTATATACACAGTTTATTTAAATAAAAATGCAAAACTCTTTACTGTTTTCCACAAGGTCCTGCACCATTCAGCCCCCATAACTTCTCTCTCCTCTGTTCACTGGACTTCAGTGAAATCTCTTTGCTGTTACTCAAACAGGCCACCTCAGGGCCTTTGCACTTGCTGTTCTCTCTTCTCAGAATGCCCTTCTCTCTGTTCTTTTGCAAGTCACCTCTGCTTATCCTTCAGTTCCCCATTAAAATGTCACCTTTGGCCAGGTGCAGTGGTTCATGCCTATAATTCCAGTATTTTTTGGAGGCTAAGGCAGGATGGTGACTTGAGCCCAGGAATTTAAGACCAGCCTAGGCAACACAGGGAGAACGCTCTCTACTAAAAAAAAAAAAATTGAAAATTGAAAATTAGTTGGGCATGGTGGTATGTGACTATGGTCCCAGCTACTTGGGAGACTGAGGCAGGAAGATCGTTTGAGCCCAGGAGTTTGAGGCTGCAGTAAGTTGTGATGGTGCCACTGCAATCCAGCCTAGGTGACAGAGTGAGACTTTGTCTCAAAATAATAAAAAAAAATAAAATAAAATGTCACCTTCACAGGGAAATTTTTCCTGACACCCCCCCCCATCTAAGCTGAGCTCCTCATGACACCTCAGAGCTCCCAGTTCCCCCAAGTATGACCTCAGAATGTAGTTAATGAAGCAGTTACTTATGTGATTCACAATTGTCTCTCTTGCCTTCATTAGAACATAAGCTCCATGAGGCCCATGAGTTTTGTCTACTTGTTTATTGCTCTGGTCTTTTTTTTGTTTTTGAGACAGAGTTTCACTCTTTTTGCCCAGGCTGGAGTGCAATGGTGCGATCTCGGCTCACCGCAACCTCCGCCTCCCAGGTTCAAGCAATTCTCCGGCCTCAGCCTCCCGAGTAGCTGGGATTACAGGCATGCACCACCACCCTGGCTAATTTTGTATTTTTTTTAGTAGAGCCTGTTGGTCAGGCTGGTCTTGAACTCCCGACCTCAGGTGATCCACCTGCCTCGGCCTCCCAAAGTGCTGGGATTACAGGCATAAGCCACTGCGCCCGGCCTATTGCTCTATTCTTGTATCCACAGCACATAGCACCAGCTCAGTCAATATTTGTTGATCAAAGAAATTCACCAATATTGGGCACCAACTTACAGACTGGCACAGAGCCTGAAAAGTGGTCAGTGTTCAAATTACGTTGAATGATTAAATGACTGTTGGAGGCCAGGCACGGTGGCTCACGCCTGTAACACTAGCACTTTGGGAGGCCAAGGTGGGCGGAACACCTGAGGTCAGGAGTTCAAGACCAGCCTGGCCAACACGGTGAAAACCCATCTCTACTAAAAATACAAAAATTAGCTGGGTGTGGTGGCACACGCCTGTAGTCCCAGTTATTCGGGAGCCTGAGGGAGGAGAATCATTTGAACCCAGGAGTCAGAGGTTGCAGTGAGCCAAGATCCTGCCACTATATTCCAGCCTCGGCAACAGAGCAAGATTCTATTTGAAAAAAAAAAAAAAAAGACCGGGCACAGTGGCTCAGTGTCTGTAATCCCAGCCCTTTGGAAGGCTGACACGGGTGGATCACCTGAGGTCGGGAGTTTGAGACCAGCCTGACCAACATGGAGAAACTCTGTCTCTACTAACAGTACAAAATTATCTGGGCATGGTGGTGCATGCCTGTAATCCCAGCTACTCGGGAGGCTGAGGCAGGAGAATCGCTTGAACCCAGGAGGCAGATGTTGCAGTGAGCCCAGATCGCACCATTGCACTCCAGCCTGGGCAACAAGAGTGAGACTCCGTTTCAAAAAAAAAAAAGACTGTTGTAATCAGAAAATGTAAGCGTGGGAAACGGGAAAGGAAAGATTTCTCCCTGCCCCCTGACAGCTCCTGCCTCTCCCACAGCTCCGGGGAACCTTGTACAACACCGGCCGACATGTCTCCTTCCTGCCTGCACCCCGACCTGTGGTCAATGTGTCTGGGGGTCCCCTCCTTTATAGCCACCGACTCAGTGAACTGCGGCTGCTGTTTGGAGCTCGCGACGGAGCCGGCTCCGAACATCAGATCAACCACCAGGGCTTCTCTGCTGAGGTAGTGACCACTGATTGTTTACCGGCGAACCTGAGTCACCCCAGTTCCTCCCACCTCACCCTCGTAATGCCTCACCCCATCCTCCTCCACAGAACTGACCTCCCACCCTAAGCACTAATCCTCAGCCTGATTCGGGCCCCCAAAGCTGGGGTTATCCTCTCCTCCCCTTCTGCTGGGGGACCCCATGCTCTGTGCTACCCCCAGGTGCAGCTCATTCACTTCAACCAGGAACTCTACGGGAATTTCAGCGCTGCCTCCCGAAGCCCCAATGGCCTGGCCATTCTCAGCCTCTTTGTCAACGTGAGCGGAGGCGAGATTCGGAGGGAGGGAGCACTTGGGTGCCTGGAACCCGGGGTCTGAGGGAAGAGGGGTGCTGGGAGGCCCAGACTCCTGGGTCCTGGGGGAGCAGACGGTTGAGGGCTTGGACTTCTGGGCTCCTGTGTCCTCACCTTGTACCCCCACACAGGTGGCTGGTAGCTCTAACCCATTCCTCAGTCGCCTCCTTAACCGCGACACCATCACCCGCATCTCCTACAAGAGTAAGTCCCTGGCGTACTGGGGCCAGTGGTCACACATGAGGGGGTGTTCAAGAGTGCCGCCCTCCTTACTCTGGCCTGATATTCCTGCAGATGACGCCTACTTTCTTCAAGACCTGAGCCTGGAGCTCCTGTTCCCAGAGTCCTTCGGCTTTATCACCTATCAGGGCTCTCTCAGCACCCCGCCCTGCTCCGAGACTGTCACCTGGATCCTCATCGACCGGGCCCTCAATATCACCTCCCTCCAGGTGACCCTCTGTCCGCACCGGCCTTCCTAGGCCTGGGTACTCCACTCACTGGCCTGGGTATCCCCTTGTTCACCTGCCCTCCCTCTCCTCATAGACTGAATTTAAGGAGGTAAGAGGGTCAGACCACCTTTGGGGGTGGGGTGGGGCTGATAACAGGCCCCGCCCACCTGCTCCCAGGGGCGGGATTTCCCGCGTGATGTCACCAAGACCGTTCACTATTCACTCCCAGTTTCCCACCCTCCTTCTATGGCAGATGCACTCCCTGAGACTCCTGAGCCAGAATCCTCCATCCCAGATATTCCAGAGCCTCAGCGGTAATGGCCGGCCCCTGCAGCCTTTGGCCCACAGGGCACTGAGGGGCAACAGGGACCCCCGGCACCCCGAGAGGCGCTGCCGAGGCCCCAACTACCGCCTGCATGGTATGGTCCAGTCTGCACCCACTCTATGTCTTGGGCTAACCCGCTTATATGTGTCTCCCCTTGGTGTCTCCATGTGATTCAGTCCCATCCCCCTTCCTGCGTCTGTATGGTGTAGCCTCCTGAGCTGTCTCTTTTTCTCTCTCTCCCTACATATCAACGTGGTACAGTCCACCTTCCAGCCCTAGGTCATTGCTGTCCCACGATTTGTCTTTCCTCTTCACTGCTTTGTAACTTGGTCTATAACCCTTGACCCCTGCCTTCCTATGGTCCGATTACCTACTGTTCTGTGCTTCCTATTACTGTGAATTTCCAAAATGGTACAATTTGGATCCTCTCTCCCTTTCCAAGTCGTACTACTCTACGCTGTTCCACAATCTGATGCTCCTTTCCCCCTTACTGAGAATCTACAACTGCCTCCCTGTGGTTCAGCCCAGGGATCTCACACCCCCCGGCTTCGCAACATGGTACAGTCCACACCCCCCATGAAGACCTTCAAGTAGTTCAGCCTAATGCTGAATCTGGACATCTCGATTCCCCCCTCCTGTTGGCTTCTTGTGGTTCAGCCCAGTGCTTCTCGACCTGGTACATTCCGGTTCCCCGCTCACAGACTTCCGATGGTAGAGCCCTGCGCGGCCCAGCCCACGCCCCCTGCACGCCCCCTGCCCCTTCCATCCTAAACTGACGCCTGCCGTTGTTCTCTGTCTTACAGTGGATGGTGCCCCCCATGGTCGCTGAGACTCCCCTTCGAGTATTGCACCCGCCCGTCCTAAGCCTCCCCACACGGCTAGGGGAGTTACTCCTAAAACAAAGCTATTAAAGGGACAGAACACTTCTTGTTTCTCAGTGGTCTGATTCTAGGCGCGGTGGGGAAACATTTGGGTATTAAAGAACAGACTTCTTCCGGAAACCAATCTTTCTCTTTTTAAGCCCCCGCTACTCGGCATTTTGGCTTCCTGCTTCTCAAAACCATCATTAGGACCGCGGCCCCTTTAAGCGGCGCCTTTCTTGCCCCATCACACCCCTTACCACCAGGCAGCACGAGCAGAGCCATGTGCTTCCCCCTCCCGCCTGCTTCATTGGCCCAAACTGGGTCACGGTCCCGCCCCCAGTACCGCCTCCCATTGGGCAAATGTAGGTCAGTGTCCCGCCTCCCACCGAAAGGCAAGGCAACTTCACGCGCTAAGCCCCTCACGCGCCCTCCTGGGCCCTGGCGTATCCAGAGGCCCCATTGGCTGTGCGTCTCAAGGGGTCGGAGACGATTGGCCTGTGTTTGCAGCCGGAGGGAGGCACGCGGCTGGGGTGCATGCCCACAGAGGCGGGCGGGGCTGGACGCGCCGGGCGGGGACCCGGAGGAGGGGCGCGCGCTGTGGCGTCGGGTGTTTTGGTTTGGATTTTTTTTCCGCGAAAGAAGTTTGCTTTGGCCACGCCTCAAGGCGGCCGCCTCCTCCTGCCCCCTCCTCCGCCCCTCCGCGCACACCTCTCGGTGCAGATTGCAAAGCGCCTTCCGTTGCGAGAGCTGCAGATTTTGCAAGAGCCAGGCTCGCCCACCTTGTAGAAGGGGCGCCTTGGGTCCCCTCTCACCCTCGGTTGCAAAGGGCCGGCTGCTTGATTTGGACACCCCCTCGCCCAGACTGCATGATCTCCCGGGACCCTTTTGAGTTGCACGTTTCTGCACCGAGGACCTCAAATTCCCGTCGCTCCTAGGATTTGCAGCGTTCTGGATACTGGAGGGTTGCAGGCTACACTCGCCCGCCCCTGGGCAGACAGTCGTCCAAACCACTGGAGTGTGCCGGTGACTGGCAGGCCAGCCCTTCGCCTCTCCATGAACCCGTGAGCCTGGGGGCAGGTGCCAGGCGATGGCGCGGCCTGTGAGCGACAGGACCCCGGCCCCTCTGCTGCTGGGCGGCCCGGTCGGGACACCCCCTGGCGGGGGAGCGCTGCTTGGGCTGCGGAGCCTTCTGCAGGGGACCAGCAAGCCCAAAGAGCCGGCCAGCTGTGAGTTCTAACCCCCATCTCACCCAGTTCGGACACCCCACCCCCCTAAGGCCTCAAATGCCGTTGGGTGGGGGGTGGGGGCCCATAGACACCTCCTGTGTGGGGGGAGTCCATCTTCCCAACCTTAATCTACTCAATTACTCAGGTGTTTAGGCCCCTAGATCCCTCAGCGCCCAGGACGCAAAAGCGCCGGCTCTGAAGCCCGTCCACCCTAAGGTCCCCAAAGTCCTCCTCCCTCGGTTCACAGGAGTGTAGGCCCCAGCCTCCTCTTCCTTTGGTCCGGGAGTCTGGACCCCTGGGGTCCCAGGGAGGGGGTGTGTCGGGTGCTCACACGGTGGTGACACGGGCTTGGGCGGGGCGTCATGGGGTCACATGGAGTCTAGGGATGAGGAATGTGCCCCAGGAATAGAGCCCCTTCCTGTCCCTTACAGAGGGTGGGGGAGGGGGAAGGGGGTACAGCGCGCAGGGGATGGGGTTGGGTAATTACAGTGGAATTACAGAGCTGTCATTTTTTTCTCTCACCTGCCCAACCCTCCACCTACCCTCTCCCTGCCCTCCAATTCCTGAACTTCCGTCCCTCTTTCTCTGGGTCGCTGTCTTTCTGTGTCTCAATCCCTTCCCGGCATTCTGTCCCCATCTCTGTGAATCTGTCCACCTGTCTCTGCCACCCCCGTCTCCGTTCTTTCTGGGTCTCTCTCCCACTCTGCGTCTCCGTCCCTTCATTTCCCGTCTCTCCTCTCCGACTCCCCAACCCCTCTTTCTCTGGATCTCCGCCCTGTGCCTCTCGGACTCGGGGTTTCTTCTCCCATCTCTATCTCCACCCCCCCGCCATCCCAACCCGTCTTTCCCGGCCCGCAGGTCTCCTGAAGGAAAAGGAGCGCAAGGCGGCCCTGCCCGCAGCCACAACCCCTGGGCCAGGCCTGGAGACTGCGGGCCCGGCGGATGCCCCGGCTGGGGCGGTGGTGGGCGGCGGGTCCCCGCGGGGGCGCCCGGGGCCAGTTTCCGCCCCGGGTCTGTTGGCGCCACTGCTGTGGGAGCGCACGCTGCCGTTCGGCGATGTGGAGTACGTGGATCTGGACGCCTTCCTGCTGGAGCACGGGCTCCCGCCCAGCCCGCCGCCCCCCGGTGGCCCATCGCCGGAGCCGTCGCCCGCGCGGACGCCCGCACCCTCCCCAGGGCCGGGCTCGTGCGGCTCCGCTTCCCCCCGCTCCTCTCCTGGGCACGCCCCCGCCCGGGCTGCCCTCGGGGCCGCCAGCGGCCACCGCGCAGGTGCGGCGAAGGGGGCGGGGCGGGTCCTGACGGGGCGGGGCTTGGACTCAGGGGGCGGGGCTGTGCGACGCTGGGGGCTGGGACCGTGGAACCCGGCTGCGGCCCCGAATTTTGTGTCCAGTTGTCGAGCGGTGTCGTGGGAGGGGGCCAGATTCTGTGTCTCTTAATGGGTCAAGAACTTGATCTTCTGGCTCCATAGGGGAGGAGAGACTTGGAACCCTAAATTCCAGGAAGCCTGCCCAATGAGATTTTGTGGGTTTTTCTGTGGGACGTGGGGACAAAGGATGTGGATACTCGTGAAGCCAGAACTGGAAGTCCGGAACACCAGAGTTATTTACTGGGCAGTGGACTGACCCCAGAATCTGGGCCCATAATCGATGGAACTGGGATAGAACTGGAGCCCCTAGGTCCTTTACAGGAGCAAAGGAGGGGCGCAGAATTCTGTTTACCCAGGACATTAGAGACTGGCAGCCCAGTTCTTGGGTCCCCCAGTGGGGCGTGCTGCAGCCCCGGGTCCCAGAGTTCTTCAGAAGGGAAGACGTTAGGGATCTTGTTTCTGGATTCTCCAACTGGGGCTAGGACCAAGCTTCCTATATTCCTAGGAGAGGCGTGGGATCCCAGAATCGTGTGTACCCCAGTGGCGGGGGGCCTGGGAAGGTCCAGGAGGCCGATGCTCCCTGGAGAGCAGGGGATTGGGATCTTTGGGGGGTGAGATGTTGGAGCTAAGTGACTGGAAGAGCAAGAGGAAAGATGTTTCCCTTTGGGCATATTGAGGTCTCCAGGGACGGACTGCAGTTTGGGAATTCCTGGGCACACCTGCCCCAGGTCCGACCTCCGGGCCGAACCAGGGCCCTACCCTTCCCAGCCGCACATTCCTGCGCCACGTGAGTCTCCCCTCCCTCCTCCGCGCTTCGCGCAGGCGCTTTCACGCGCGAGGGGGCGGGGCCGGGGAACGTGAGGGCGCCGATGGCAGGGGGGCCTGGGAGGGAGGGAGGAGGAGGGAAGCAGGCGTCAGCACGTGACTCGGCCCTGAACCTGTGTCCTTAGCTGGCCCCGGCTGGCTGGTGCTTAAAGGTACAGGCGCCTCCTTTCGAACCAATCTTCTGGAATCTTACAGCAGCTTCTCCTCTTCTTTTCCCTTACTCTTCCCAGCGAGTAGCTCTTAGACTGTAACTTGAGAGCTTTTCAGTGCAGTAGATTATTTTTCTCTGGACAATCTGGGGTCTAAGCTTAGGTCGTGGATTCGGTAAGTAGGATTCAGGCTAGACTGTGCATCTGAAGTTCTGAGGTTTTAGAAGCAATAGCTCCATCGCTTCTTGGCCTTTTGGCTAAGATTAAGTGTAGAAGCAATAGCCCTGATTCATGTGCTATCTAGGGCAAGTCAGTTATGACTGGGACTCAGTTTCCTTGTTTGTAAAGGTGGATATGGCTCCATGATGTCTAAGCATCTTTATGGCTTAGGGGAATTTTCATTTTTCTTGTTATTTTGGAGACGGAGTCTTGCTCTGTTGTCGAGGCTGGAGTGTGGTGGTGTGATCTCGGCTCACTGCAACCTCCACCTCCCGGGTTCAAGTAATTCTCCAGCCTCAGCCTCCCTAGTAGCTGGGCTTACAGGCACCTGCCACTGCACCTGGCCAATTTTCATACTTTTAGTGAAGATGAGGCTTTGCCATGTTGGCCATGCTGGTCTCAAACTCCTGACCTCAGGTGATTTGCCGCCTCGGCTTCCCAAAGTGCTAGGGTTATCGGCATGGGAGGGAACCTTCATATTTTATATTAGGGAGATGAGTCCCTGGCCAAATTTATGCTAGATCTCAGAAGGGCTCTCCATGTGGCTATGATACCAGAGCAAGAGGTAGCTTCTGGAAACCCCTTCCCTAAAATACACACTCAGCTGACACGTGCTGTTTCTCCAAGGCCTGACCTCTCGGGACACACCCAGCCCTGTGGACCCAGACACCGTGGAGGTGCTGATGACCTTTGAACCCGACCCAGCTGATCTTGCCCTATCAAGCATTCCTGGCCATGAGACCTTTGACCCTCGAAGACACCGCTTCTCAGAGGAGGAACTTAAGCCCCAGCCAATCATGAAGAAGGCGAGGAAAATCCAGGTGCCAGAGGAGCAGAAGGTGAGCAGAGCTGGATGTGGGACATAGGCTTGGCTGGAGACATGCCCTACAGCCAGGGAGGGGCCTTTTCTCACATTCAGGCCTGGGCTTCTCACTGGGATTAGTGCTCAGCCTCTCCTGGCCTGCAGCCACGGATTAGTTCTCCTTGGCCATGGGGCACAAGGGGACAGGAGCCTGAGGTTTATGAAGATAGTGTCAGCTGGGCGAGGGGTCTCACTCGTGTAATCCCAGCACTTTGGGGGCTGAGGCAAGAGGGTCGCTTGAGCTCAGGAGTTCAAGACCAGCCTGGGCAACATGGTGAAACCCCATTTCTACAAGCTACTCGGGAGGCTGAGGTGGGAGGATTGCTTGTGCCTGGGAAGTTGAGGATTGCTTGTGCCTGCAGTGAGCCAAGATTGCACCACCGCACTCCAGCCTGGACTACAGAGCGAGACCTTGTCTTAAAACAAAAGACAGTATCACTGTGGGGTGCTGACTCAGCCAGCTGTGCTAGGCCTACTTGTAGAGACTTGGAGCTTCTCCTATTACTTGGATCCAGAACCCTCAGTGGGTCAGGTCTCAGGCTCCACCAGGCACAACTGCGAAGGACAGTCTTCCTTGGCAATGGGATATCAGCCTGTGGCCTGTCTCTCCTTACTCAGCAGGCCTTTGATCTCTGATGTGGGACTTCCTTTGGAGTGATTGCCTTTGGCTAGGATGCAGATTCGGCCAGCCCCTTTAGGACTTGTTTCCTGGGCCTGGGCTTCTCACTGGTGGGAGGCTTCAGGCTTCTGTTAACAGCCAGGGCCACTTTCTGATTTGGGATGATTTGAGCAGTGATTGCATCTTTGCATCCTTTTTTTTTTTTTTTTTTGAGACGGAGTCTGGCTCTGTTGCCCAGGCTGGAGTGCAGTGGCCGGATCTCAGCTCACTGCAAGCCCCGCCTCCCAGGTTCACGCCATTCTCCTGCCTCAGCCTCCCGAGTAGCTGGGAGTACAGGCGCCCGCCACCTCGCCCGGCTAATTTTTTTTGTATTTTAGTAGAGACGGGGTTTCACCGTGTTAGCCAGGATGGTCTCGATCTCCTGAACTCGTGATCCGCCCGTCTTGGCCTCCCAAAGTGCTGGGATTACAGGCTTGAGCCACCGCGCCCGGCCTGCATCCTTTTTTTTTTTTTGGCCATTACTGGAGTCTTCCCTAGCAAGAGTTGCTTGGGCTCCTGTTACAAGACTTTGTCATTCCAGGCCAGGCGCGATGGCTCACGCCTTGTAATCCCAGCACTTTGGGAGGCTGAGGTGGGCGGATCACTTGAGGTCAGGAATTTGAGACCAGCCTGGCCAACATGGTGAAATCTCGCCCCTACTAAAAGTACAGACATTTTCTGGGTGCAGTGTCTCATGCTTGTAATCCCAGCACTTTGGGAGGCCGAGGCTGGTGGATCACGGGATCAGGAGACCATCCTGGCAAAGATGGTGAAACCCCGTCTCTACTAAAAATACAAAAATTAGCTGGGCATGGTGGCACGTGTCTGTAGCCCAGGTACTTGGAAGGCTGATGTAGGAGAATCGCTTGAACCTGGGAGACGGAGGTTGCAGTGAGCCAAGACTGTGCCACTGCACTCCAGCCTGGTGATAGAGCAAGACTCCATCCCAAAAACAAAAACAAACAGGCCAGGTGTGGTGGCTCATGCCTGTAATCCCAGCACTTTGGGAGGCCGAGGCGGGCAGATCACCAGGTCAGGAGATGGAGACTATCCTGGCTAACATGGTGAAACCCCGTCTCTACTAAAAATAAAAAAAAATTAGCCAGGCATGGTGGCGGACACTTGTAGTCCCAGCTACTCAGGAGGCTGAGGCAGGAGAATGGCGGAGGCGGAGCTTGCAGTGAACTGAGATTGTGCCATTGCATTCCAGTCTGGGCAACAAAGTGAGACACCATCTCAAAAAAAAAAAAAAAAAAAAAATTAGCCAGACACGGTAGCAGGCACCTATAATCCCAGCTACTCAGGAGGCTGAGGCAGGAGAATCGCTTGAACCTGGGAGGTGGAGGTTGCAATGAGCTGAGATCATGCCACTGCACTCCAGCCTGAGCGACAGAGCGAGACTCCATCTCAAAAAATAAGATTTTGCCATACCCTTGTGCAAGACATAGTTACTTGAAGCAGCTAGGACGGGCCTATAAGTCAAATCTACACCAGTGGTTTCTCCTGCTAGAGGGCCCTATTGCTTGGGACTGGATTTACCCTCACAAGCAGGAACTGGGCTTTAATTAAATGGTGGAGTGGACAGCATCTCTCTGAGCCCAGTGGTCCTTAGTTACTAAGGAGGAGTCCTCCTTAGGAACCAACTTCCAGGATGGGAGGACTTCAGGTATAATCCTCTGGGGAGGTCTCAGGATAGTCCCCTTTCCTAAGGGACAGCTCTTCTCTCAGTCAGGTCCTGGTGGGGAGGAGGCTATTCTCTGGCCTCAGTTCAAGGCCAGCAGGTCAGAGACTGGCCACAGCCATTGAAACCACTTAGACCTCACTATTGTTTGCCAAGGATGGATGAGGTTGCCTTGGCAACCAGGTCAGAAGGCCCCAGCTCTGGGAGGATTTTATGGGACACCGAACCCCATCACCAGGGCACCAAGATTTCCTTAGCAACCAAGATCTGGAAAGGCGATGTGCAGGGCAGTGCTTTTCAACGGGAGAAGCCCTCAGACCATGAAGGCCTTGTTGCTAGGGAACAAGCATCCTTAGCAAGCAGGAGCTAACTGCAGGCCCTTTATCATGTGGGGAGGGCTGGGGCCCCACTTTGCAGAATGGAGACTTAAAGTGAATCGCTTAAGGGTGGGGGTCTATCTCGTGTCTTTACTGTTGCTAGGGGCCCAATCTCCTTAGCAACCAGGGCCCTAGAAAGGCAGACCCATGGGTATCTATCCCAGCAGAGACCTGGTATGGTTTAGGCCCCGCTGCTGTGGCTCCCTTACTCTCTCGCTGGGACCTGGGTCCCTCTGGACCTCAGTGTCCTCCCCCTTTCCTCCCCCAGGACGAGAAATATTGGAGCCGCCGGTACAAGAACAACGAGGCAGCTAAGCGGTCCCGGGACGCCCGGCGGCTCAAGGAGAACCAGATATCGGTGCGGGCGGCCTTCCTGGAGAAGGAGAACGCCCTGCTGCGGCAGGAAGTGGTGGCTGTGCGCCAGGAGCTGTCCCACTACCGCGCCGTGCTGTCTCGATACCAGGCCCAACACGGGGCCCTGTGAGGCTGCCCCACATCCCCACCTGGCGGAGCTCTCCTCCGCCTTGCTGAGACTTACGCCCTGTTCCCTCCCTGCCCTGTGGCCCACGGGTCGGCCAGCTGGGTGCCCCAGGGACGTGATAATGCAGATAAATACATTTATATTTTTAAGAAAAAGCGAACCTCCCCACTCCCTTGCGGGGGCGGGGAGGGTCCTCTGTGTGTCCCCGGCACGTCAGGGACCCCATCCTCCCACCGCCTCCGTTAACACGATCCTGAATAAATCTTGAGAACCCCAGAGCCAGCTGTTGTGGAAGAGGAGGGCAGCTCCCTGGCATACTGGCTACAGCCCGTGGGCAGCTCCGGGCTGCCGTCCATAGACGGCAGGCGCTGCTGGAAGTGCTGGAGTCTGAGTCCTCCCGCGGGCTGTCGGATGGAGGAAGGGCAGAAGGTCTGAGAGGAAGGAAGCGACTGCCTTTATTGCATAGACCTTTTCAATTGCTTTTTAGATTGGGGACGGAGGACGCGCATGAGACGAACAGGGGATATGAATTTCCCCGCCCCCACCCGCGGGGGGAGGAATATTAGTGCAAATCCTAGCGCCGGCCCCGGGGAACCTGCCCCTCCTGGGCTGATTGGCCAGCTAAATGGAGGCACCGGAGTGGATGGGGCGAGGCTGCGGGCCCCGAAGGGCTGAATCACTGAGGCCTACCCCAGCCAGTACATTCCAGGTCCTGTCATTGGGCGACGCGTAAAACAGGCTCCGCCCTCAGCCAGCCTGGCCGGGTAGGAGCAGGTGGCTAGCTTCAGGACTAAGCCCTGCCCCTTAAGGGCATCCCGAGATCAGACGCCAGGCCCCGCCCTCATTGATCAGGCACTACCCTCGCGACGACGCCCACTCTCCAGCATCACGTCTGGTCCCATGAAGCCGGGCGCAATCCTGAGACGGGGCCAGGGCCCTTGCACTTGCGGGCTGCCACCACAACTCTAGCAGCCAGGCCACACCCCTAGCTCAGGCTCCGCCCCATTGGAATGTAGGCCCCGCCCCCGGCGGGTTCCAACCTTGTTGAGTTTCAGGGCTCCCGCCCTGGGCAGCCAGGAGGCCCGGTGAGCAGTGTACCGAGGCCAGGGTGCATCTGTGCCTGTAGCGGCCCATACTCCACCTGCTCCCCGTCCACCGTGAGCACACCGCGCGGCGTGAGTGGCTCTAGGCGGAAGGCACGGGCCGCGGCGTAGCCCAGCTGCGGACAGCCCAGGCTGAACTGGCTACCACGCTCCATGGCCAGGAAAAGGCGTAGCAGCGCAGCCCGCGAGATGCCGCTACGCACCCAGCACAGGTGCACCAGGCCGTCGTCGAAGCGCGCGTGCGGAGCTGCCACCAGGTCAGCGCCTAGGTGGCTGGGCGATATGGCCAACATGAGCACAAAGTCCCCCTCCAGCGTCACCCAGTCTGGGGGCAGTGGGGTGCCCAGCGGAGGCAGCAGGTGGTCAGGCAGGCCGCAGGTGGAGGCCGCTACCCGGGCATCAGGGGTGGGCGGTGGGAGCCCAGAAGATGGGGGAATTACGGGGGCCCCCTCAGCGACGGGTGAGTGTAGAGCTGTCCTGGGAGAGCCAGGAGGTGAAGACAGCAGTGGGTCCGGGGACAGTGGAGCATCCCCAGCCCCACCCCAGTCCCCAGCCAGCTCTGGGCCCCCACCGTTGAGGGACAGGATGGGCAGGGGTTCTGGTGAGCCAGGGGAGGCCAGGGCAGGTTGGGGCAGGGGCAGGGGCAGGTCAGACACAGAACGATGCAGGGGTGAGTGGGCCATGGGCGGGGCTGGGTCTGGCGTTAGGGTCAGCTCTGACTTAGCACGGGGCAGGCTATGGACAGGGGTGGGTGAGGTGGGTTCCACAGTGGCGGGGAGGTAGGAGAGGCGTCCGCGGTAGGTGTGCAGTGTGGCGAGGCCCAGCACCGTGCCCAATGTGAAGCGGGCACTGCCCAAGGCCCTGAAGCGCTCGCTCTGGATATCCACATCTGACACGAAGCCCCAGGCCACAGACAGGAAGGAGAAACAGCGGGAGCCCGAGGCCAGCGTCACGGAGAGCAGGTCCAGTGGGTGGCCGCCACCCCGGCAGAGCAACAGTGAGCAGTTGAGCAGCAGGTCGAGGCCCAGGGCTGGCTCAAATCTTCATACCCAGAGATGGACAGACACACAGAAGCAGCAAATAGGGGTAGGGGAAAGAGACAGGCAGGGAAGCAGGTGGCAATGAGGCCAGGAAGGCCATGGCCCAGGCCCACCACAGCCGTGGGGCCACCTCTAGGCAGTTCCTTACGGGGCCAGGTTCCCGGTCATCTCTTTCATTTGCTCCCTACAAGTCACTGAGCGCCTCCCATGCCAGGCACAGTTCTGGGCACTAGGGATACAGCTGGGAGCCAGGCAGGCTGATTTACTTGACTGACTGTGGGTTTGCCTGAGTGAGAGATATAGGGGTCCCTATCACCCCAGGAGGGGCTCATCCCTCCCTTGGTGGTATTCTCAACCTACCCCCCGTGCTGGTTCACTGCTCCGGCCAGCGCATTGCCCGAGCCACAGGGGAGGATGCCCACAGGCATCTTCACAGCTTCCTCCCAGTCAGGGCGATCTAGGAGCCCGTTCAGCACCTGGAGGGTGGGGAGAGCAGAAGCCTGGGTCCTGGTGGCAGCCTCTGCAGTGCCCCAGGGCCCAGGGTTAGGGGCAGGGTGCTCCTGCTCTACCTCATGGAGCAGCCCGTCTCCCGAGACCGTGACGATGCCATCCCACTCACTCAGGCTCAGCCCCTGGACCAGCTCCCGAGCGTGGTTCTGTCGTTCTGAAGTGGGATACCGGGCCGTTAGGAAGGCTGTCCCACCCCAGCCCCATAGCCCCAGGAGTCCCACCCACCACTTTGCTCCCTTAGGACTCAGTTGTCCCAGCCCCCAGCTCCCATTCTCACTGGCCCTTACCTGTCTGGATGAGGTTGAAGGACAGCCCAGCTTCAGAAATCATGGGAAGCACGTAGTTCTTACACCACTGCCAGGCCAAGCCCCGCCCCCCAAAGGGATTGACCAATAGGAGCAACCTGGGCGGCCGAGGTAGCAGGTCAGGGGTGATCTCTGTGGAGAGAGGTTAGGGTCTGCAGAGACCAGCGACCCAGGGCCCCCACCTTGGAAACAGTCCCTTCAAACAGCCCCCTACAGAATTGGTGGAGGGCTAGCACCTGGCACCTGCTGGCTCTCATCTGGCCAGGCCTAGGTATGCAGCCCTGCCCCACCACCCAGGTGCTGAGACAAAGGCAGAGCTGAGGTGTGAAACCAAATGCCCTTTGTCCCCACTTGTGGGAGGAGGGCACGAGAGCTGTAGTTTGGAGCTGTGGTTCCCACTTTCCTCACCCCGAACACCTATCACCCAGGATCAGTTTACTTCCAGCCCTTAGGGGCCCCAGGCAGGATTAGATGCCACCTCTGAACTCCAGGGAAGCCCTAGGAGACCTCTGTTGGCACCCATCACTCTGGGTGGTGCCTGGTCCTGTCTCAGGCGGCTGCTGTCACCAGCCTGGGTGACTCATCTGTGGTCAAGACCCATGCAAAGGGGAAGAGGGCAGGAGACAGAAACATAAATCTAGCAAGAGAACAGCAGATGTAAATCACTTCTCTGTCTGCCTTTTTGTTCTGTTTTTTTGTGACAGACTTTCGCTCTTGTTGCCCAGGCTGGAGTGCAATGGTGTGATCTCGGTTCACTGTAACCTCTGCCTCCCAGATTCAAGTGATTCTCCTGTCTCAGCCTCCCAAATAGCTGAAATTACAGGTATCCGTCACCACTCCCGGCTAATTTTTGTATTTTTAGTAGAGACGGGGTTTCACCATGTTGGCCAGGCTGGTCTCAAACTCCCGACCTCAGGTGATCCACCTGCCTCGGCCTCCCAAAGTGCTGGGATTATAGACGTGAGCCACTGCACCTGACCTCTGCCTGTGCTTTTTTTTTTTTCTTTTGAGACAGAGTTTTGCTCTTGTTGCCCAAGCTGGAGTGCAATGGCACAATCTTGGCTCACTGCAACCTCCGCCTCCTGAGTTCAAGCAATTCTCCTGCCTCACCTTCCTGTAGCTGGGATTACAGGTGTGTGGCATCACACCCAGCTAATTTTTTATATTTTCAGTAGAAACGGGGTTTCACCATGTTAGCCAGGCTGGTCTCAAACTCCTGACCTCAGGTGATCCACCCGCCTCAACTTCCCAAAGTGCTGGGATTACAGGCATGAGCCACCACACCCGGCCCTCTGTCTTTTTGTTCCTTCTGTAGCCCATCTCTGTGTATCACTCCTAATGGATCCAGAGAGATACATCACCCAGACACAGAAAAATAGACACAGCTGCCTATGGAGGAAATTCTGCAGAGCCACCAAGGTGGCCCCAGGACAGAGCAGCTGCCCAGCGCCTCACCCCCATCCCCGGGCAGCGGCAGTCCTCGGAGCAGACAGGTGAGGGCGGTGGCCCAGCGCTGGGCCTCAGCACGGTTCTCTTCGTAGGTGGTAGCCCCATCTGTCCGGAAGGTGCGGGTGGTTCTGCGCCGGCTCCCGCGCCGGCTCCGGGGGTAGGTGTAGATGCAGAAGTAGGCCGCTGAGTCTGAGGGGCTACGGCTTCGCAGGGTGCAGCAGCCTGAGACCTCGGCCAACGGGACCAGGCCACCCCGGGGCCTGGCTTCGGGTTTGGGGCGCAGCCGCTGTATGTGCAGGGCCTGCGACGTGAGGGTGAGGGCAAAGCGTGGGCCTCGGGCTGGGTAGGAGCCAAACTCGCCATGGAGGAGCGGGGTGCTGGCAGCCAGTGGCGGTGGGGGCGGGGCCATGGTCTTAGCCCTGACCAGGGTGCTCCTAGGCCTGTGGCCCCAGCTCCTGGTCAGCTCCTGTTCCGGCCTCTGTGGAAAGGGAGGAGAGAAGGAGTAAGAGTTCAGGACCCCATGGCAGGGGCAGGGGCTGTGGACAGGAGGAGACAATGAGGGGCAGTGGCAGGTGAGACAGGAGCACCAGAGACAGACAGGCTCTGACAGGTGCGGGCAGACCTTGAGGATGCAGGGCAGAGGCCAGCTGGGCAGGAAGGCCAGCATCCTGGAGGGGGCCGGAGACCCGGGCATGCAAACATTCAATCATTTATTCCCCAGTACGTATTCAGTACCCTGTATGTGCCAATCACAGTGCTAGACCTAGCAAACACAGCAGGAAACAAAACAGCCCCAAATCCTTGCCTTCACAGGAACAGATAAACAAGAGAAGGATTAAAATATATTGCGTGATGATAATGGGCTTTGGGGGAAAAGAAGGCACAGGAAGGGGAATGGATAGTGGGATTGGAATATGCAGAAACAGACATGCAAAGACTGAAAGACACACCCCCTCCATCCCCTGCCACCACATGGTGCGGAGGGTAATAACAGCAAAACAATCACAAATGCAATAGCGATACGGTCTGAGAGCCAGAGAAACACTGAGAGGAGACAAACAGGGTCAATGAGGTGAAACCCAGGCTGATGAAAGATACTTAAGAGAGTAAGACTTTCTCACCCCAACAAGAAAGGCAAGACAGAGTGGAAGGGAGAGCAAATAGGAGGGGTAGGAGGCAGGCATGGGGACAGCTGGAGAGAAGGGATATGACAGAGGGACTTCGGGGTCTGAGAGGAGCCACATGCAAGCACCTGCAAGGGGCAGGGGCCAAGAGCTGGTCCCTGAGCACTGACCTGGGTGCCTGGCCGCCTGCTCTCCAGGGAGCAGGTGGGAGCACGACTGAGGTCCCTTCCCCCCAGGCCCTCTCCCTGCCCTTTGCCCGGATTTTGCCTCCTCCTCTTTTCGCTCACCTTTGTTCCCCACTGCCCCGCCCAGCCACCTGCCAGTTCTGCCCCTTACATTCCCCAGACCCAGAGCGCCAGGACACCCCCTCCCCGTCCCGCCTGTGGACTCACCCTTAGGAACTACATCTGCTCCCCTACCCCCAGCGGCTCCCTCGGTCTAGGATGTCTGCCTCACCCCTAAACCTGCCCTGGCCCCATTATGGGAACCTCAAATCAGGCTCAAGCATAGAGCCCTAGATGTTCTCCAGTCTTGGGCCTGGGTCTCTGTCCCTGGGTCACTGAGACCTGGACCTGGGTCTCCATCCATTGGTCCCTAATCCATAGGCCTGCGTGTCTGGCCCTGGTCCTCTGAGCCGCCATCCGCACCCTATTTCCAGAACTCAGTCCCAGGCCTGGGTTCAGTCCTGGCCCAGGTTTTTCATTTCCATCTCCTACCCCGGTGCCCCAGTCCCAGGCCTGCGTCCTCTTGGTCCCTCAGTCCCCTAGACTCCGGTCCCTGCCCCGACCCCCGCACCCTCCTCACACGCCGGGTCCTCCTCCAGGCGGCCCCGCAAGTCAGCACCAACAGTCCCCATCAGACCTAGGGGTGGGGGGAGGGTGTGCATCCGCTCAGCCAATGGTCGTGCTGCCGGCCTGGGCCGCACCAATACGAGGGCTCAGGGGGTGGAGCCAGTCAGCTCGCGAGCTTGGCGCAGGGACTGGCCGCGGGAGAGGCCGAGAACTGGGCGGGGCCACGCGCTTCGGGAGACTGGCCGCCATCGTAGGTGAGGGCAGACGCGCAGCAGTGACGACGTCGCGGCCCCATAGACAGCGCCGTTGTCGCCATCTTTGTTAAGGGAAAGTGGGCCTGTCCCATCCTTTGAATTCACAAAAGAAAGGGGCGTGAGGGAGGAGGTCTTTAGCTGCAAAGACAGAGACTCTAACACGCGTAACAAAGGCCCAGAGATCCAGACACAGAGCAAGGCAGAGACCCAGAGAGGCTGGATGAGGCAATAAGAGAGCTGGGAGGAGAGAGTGGGGAAAGTGAAGGATACGTTTATTTTCTAACAGTTACAGAGTCAGAGAGACCCAGAGAAAAGCAGAGATATAAACAAGAGACCACAACAGTGGGATTGAGAATGTGCAAGGTAAGGATACAAGAAAACCCTGAAAATGACAGACACGGAGACAGCTGGAGACAGACACTTCTGGAATGGAAGCTGGGAAGGAGAGGCTCATTAATTCAGACTTATTTACCTCAGGCTCAAACCAGAATGGAAGCGCCATGAGATAAACATCTGCCCAGTGAATGACCCAGTCACATGGCAAGACAGAGACATAGAGAGATGGGGACAGTATTTCTAGGTCAAAGGTGAGGGAGGGAGAGAATATTGGAAGCCCAGGGGCTGGGAGGAACTGGGACAGAAAGTTAAGATGTTGCCAGACTCACCCAGGCAAAGACATGGCGAAAGTGAAAGAAAGGCAAGTATATATCAAGAGACCTAAAAACAGAATTGCATAGAGAGAAAGAGATACGCATTAGGAGACAAGGACAGAGCTCGCTAGAAAGTGACAAATGTAGGCTGTAGGCTGGGCGAGGTGGCTTACGTCTGTAATCCCAGCACTTTGGGAGGCTGAGGCGAGTGGATTGCGAGGTCAGGAGTCCAACATGGTGAAACCCCTGTCTCTTTTTTTTTTTTTTTTTGAGATGTAGTCTGGCTCTGTCACCAGGTTGGAGTGCAGTGGCGCGATCTCAGCTCACTGCAACCTCCGCCTCCGTGGTTCAAGCGATTATTCTGCCTCAGCCTCCGGAGTAGCTGTGACTACAGGCACATGCCACCACATTCGGCTAATTTCTTATATTTTTAGCAGAGACGGGGTTTCACCGTGTTAGCCAGGATAGTCTTGATCTCCTGACCTCGTAATCTGCCCGCCTCAGCCTCCCAAAGTGCTGGGATTACAGGCGTTGAGTCACCACACTGGGCCGAAACCCCCGTCTCTACTAAAAATACAAAAATTAGCCAGGTGTGGTAGCATGCGCCTGTAATCCCAGCTACTCAGGAGGCTGAGGCAGGAGAACTGCTTGAACCTAAGAGGTGGAGGTTACAGTGAGATCGTTCTACTGCACTGCAGCCTGGGTGACAGAGCAAGACTCTGTCTCAAAAAAAAAAAAAAAAAAAAGATAAATATAGGAAGAAGTTTGCTTATCGTCAAATCATGTACCTAGCATCCAACCCACAGCAGCAACGGCACCAGATAGTATGTGCCAAGGAATGACACGGAGAGAAAGGGGGACAGAAACCCAGTAAGACTGAGACAGGGGGCACAGCAACTGAGCTTGGGGCCCTGGGAGAAGGAAAGGCAGAGACACGGAGCAAAGAGGCTGAGATTCAAACACAGAGCCTAATGGTCACAAAGACGAGAGGACAGGGAGGAGGAAAAGGCAAAAGGACCCTGCAGCTCACACAGACTTGCTGTGTGGCTGCTGGGAAGCCCCTGAATTCTTGGCCTCAGCTGTCCTGTCTGGGACATGGGAAGAAAGCTATTCACACTGAAACAGGAATTAAAAGAAATTAAAGAATGTATAAGCAAAAACTCAGTTGTATGTAAAAAACCCAGTTCCCCCTGAGAAAGAGAAAGAGGTCGAGTCCTTTAAAAATTAACTGCCTGTTTTTCTGTCTGTGGCTAATGAGCCTTATCTCTCCCTTTCCCAGGCATTGTGAAGACCCTGTTTCTCTAGCTGTGCAGCTGCAAGATCACTAGACAGGATAAACTCAAGTCGTAAAACATGTTTTTCCTTGAAATGCAAGAAATAATGTAATGTATGACTCAGTTGAATAACTCTGTTTCTCTCTTCTCTAACATGCTTCCCCATGCACAGATCTCCCCCAGCCCCACAAAATGCTTAAAAGCTAACCTGACTCTTTGTTCGGGGCTCAGTCTTTGTTTGGATGTTAATCTGACTGGGTCGGTGCACCTAAATAATAAATAATAAGTATCCTCCTCAACCCCTCGGTCTCTCTGATTCCTGAATTATCCCACTGCAACACCTGCCTGGAGAGAAGGTCTGAGATCACTTATAGAAGGGCTTCCGGGCTGGGCGCGGTGGCTCATGCCTGTAAGCTCAACACTTTGAGAGACTGAGGTGGGAGGATCCCTTGAGCCCAGGAGTTCAAGACCAGCCTAGGCAACAGAGACCCAGTCTCCAGAAAAAATAAAAAAATTAGCCGGGTGCAGTGACTCATGCCTGTAATTCCAGCACTTTGGGAGGCCGAGGCGGGTGTATCACCTGAGGTCAGGAGTTTGAGACCAGCCTGACCAACATAGAGAAACCTCGTCTCTAGGAAAAATACAAAAGTAGCTGGGCATGGCGGCGCATGTGTGTAATCCCAGCTACTTGGGAGGTTGAGGCAGGAGAACTGCCTGAACCCGGGAGGTGGAGGTTGCAGTGAGCCGAGATCGTGCCATTTCACTCCAGCCTGGGCAACAAGAGTGAAACTCCGCCTCAAAATAAAATAAAATAAAATAAATAAAAATTAAAAAATTAGCCAGGCATGGTGGAGGCTACTTGGGAAGCTGAGGTGGGAAGATCACTTAAGCCCAGGAGGTTGCAGCTGCAGTAGGCTGTGATTGCGCCACTGCATTCCAGCCTGGGCAAGAGTGAGACCCTATTTTTTCTCACTCTGCTGCCCAGGCTGGAGTGCAGCGCGATCTCAGCTTACTGCAACCTCTGCCTCCCAGGTTCAAACGATTCTCCTGCCTCAGCCTCCCGAGTAGCTGGGATTACAGGCACACACCACCATGCCTGGCTAACTTTTGTATTTTTAGTAGAGACGGGGTTTCACCATGTTGGCCAGGCTGAGCTGGAACTCCTGGCCTCAGGTGATCCGCAGGCCTTGGCCTCCCAGAGTGCTGCAATTACAAGTGTGAGCTACCACGCCCGGCCTCCAATCTTTTTTTTTAAAAAAAAAAAGAAGAAGAAGAAAAGCTTTGGATTTTGTCTTTCCACAGTATGAGGATCTTGGCTTTTAGATGGTCCCTTACCTGGTCCTGCTCCTCTGCTTCAAGGAGTCCATTCATCTGCTGGTCCTCTGCTCTGTTACATCAATGGGGCCCTGGGCCTGGGTCTTAAGCCATAGTAGGCTGGTAGGAGCAAGGAGTCAGGTCTCACTTCAGCTCTGACCTTCAGCTCTGTGGAGGAGATGTGAGTGAGGAGCAGCACTGAGAGTCGACTGCAGGAGGCCCTTCCAGGCTCAATGTGCCTGAGAACCAAGAGACAGGGGCCTCCCTGCGGGGGGTGCCGGGGAAGAGTAGGTAAGTCATTTTAATCACTGCCCCAGCCAGTCCATCTGGTTGCACACAATATGTATGCTATAATAGGAGTGAAAGCTAATTTTTATTGAGCACTTATTATGTGCAAAACACTGACCTCAGCAGTTTTATTAACTTTCATAATCCTGGAAAACCTCCTGTGTGCCAGGCCTGTTGTCATCCCCTTTTTGTCCATAAGGAGAGCAAGGCCCAGAGAAGTTAAGTGATTTTCCCAAGATCACAGAAAGGTTAAGTGACTTGCCCAAGGTCACCCCATTAGTACCTAGCAGAGCCAGAATTTGAATTTGATTACAGCCTTGCAAGGCCCCATCTCACCATCTTTCTTTGCCTCTACTTCTCCCTGGGTCTCCTTCCTACCCTTTGGGCCTCCATTCCCCCCACCCCCAAGCCACGGGGCCTCCCACTTTCTAGGTCAGCAAAGGGCCATGTGGGGGCCGGGGGAGAAGGAGAAGCGGAACTCAAAGGATGGGAATACAGGATGCTATAGATTGAGGTGCAGCAAGATCATCTCGGGTTAGACCTTAAGTAGGACTTCCCAAGCAGCGGCTGCGCCTACGAAGTGTAGCGCGAGATAAGGGAGAAGTGAACCTGATAAGGAAACGCCCGAAGCGTGGGGTCAGAGGTTTCCAGATGCCCCGACTAGCCCTGCCAGCCCCGCCTCCTCACCTCCAACACTCGGCCCGCCGGGTCCTCCGCGAGCCACTGAGAGGCCGTCGGCGTCGGGCCAGAGCGTCACAGCGCGACGCGTCGTGCTAGCTCCACACATCTCGCTCCTAGATCCCTTTCTTCCGGAAAACTATCGAGAACACGGCCCGGGTAGGGCCAGAGAGGCCCCCGACGTGCTGGCCCTTCCCTCTTGGACGTTGCGCTTGTTCCTCTGCTCTATGCTCTCTGAGGTTGTCGCCTGACTAGTCAGTCGTCCAACTCACCACAGAGAAGTCCGGATCGTGGTAGAGCGCCGCGTCGCACCCATGTGACGTCACGGCGGCGCCACTCGCTGGAGGCTTTCCCCGCCCACCCCGGCACTGTTCTCTCTTTCCGGACCTGGCCGAGCAGGAGGCGCCATCATGGTGAGCTCGCTTTGCGGCGTTCGGGGCTGGGCAATCCGCTGCCATCCGCTGTGGTCGCGGACTAGGGGCACGCTGGAGGGCGGCAGGGGGTCTGCGGCTGTCTGGAGGGGGCAACTCCCGATACTGGGGGCGTACTCTGGGGGCCAGGAGAGCAGGGATGGGTCAGAGTCATAGCCTACCGCCCCCATTGAGTAGATGACCAAGTTGAGGTACTCGGAGGCTAATACGACTGGGTTTACAAAGCTAGGAAGTGGCGGAGCCAGGATTCCGACGCAGGTGGCTGGCTGGACCCGCAGCCGCTCTTAGTTATTTGGCTTTGCTGCCTCTATCCGGACCTGTCACTTTGTAGTATGAAAAGTCGGGTGGGAGGATCAATTTGGGGACCAGGGAGGCCTCTGAGTCTCAGGTCCCTTCCCACCTTGTGATGGTTTTTGAGCCTTTGCCCTAGTGTGACTGTTCGTTATGTACACAATTATCCCATCTAACAAGTTTGCGAATTTGGGAATAATAAATTCACAGGAAATTCTCACCACGGGGTCTTACAGGACACAGTGCTGAGTAAGTGGAACTATTAAAACTTAAATAGTTCTTAATGATTGCGAACAAAGTCTGAAAAAACTTCAGTTACTCAGAAAGGCAGCAGGGAGGTAAGAGCCTTTCGAGATGGCTCAAACCTGTTATCCTAGCCTTTTGGGAGGCCGAGGCTGGAGGATTCCTTTGCCCAGGAGATCAAGACCAGCCTGGCCAATATAGTGAGACCCTGTTTCCACTTCAAAAACAATTTCTTAAAAAGACAGTACTTGGTAAGGGTTGTTGGATTGACTGATGTTGTAGGAGAGGTGGTTCTGGTAGTATTGCTCGGTTCTGAATAAGGATTCGTTTCCATCATTACTGCCATTGGTTTGATATTTTTGGTTATCCTGCAGGTATGGGAGCCAGTTTTGAGAACTTAACATTGTTGCAAAATACAAGTTGTAAAGAATTAACCTTTTTATATAAAGTTAACATGGCTGCTGTGTTACACTGTTTTGTTTTCGGGGTTCTGTGCGCCATGGGCTGAAGGCATGGTAAGTAGCCCCTTTTTACAGAGGGGTCGGTGGCAGCCCAGAGGTCTCCTTGTGGTAGGCCTGGGATTTGAGCTGGTGTGTTCAGAGCTGGACCTGGGGCCCAGCTCTCAGTTTCAGAAATAAGTAATAATTGGCCATGGTTGGGGGTAATTGGGTCCATGGTTGCCTCTTCACCCCCGCAGGGAGTTGACATCCGCCACAACAAGGACCGAAAGGTTCGGCGCAAGGAGCCCAAGAGCCAGGATATCTACCTGAGGCTGTTGGTCAAGGTGAGGCTGGGCCCTGAGAGGTCTTTGGGGAGGGTCACCCCAGGTCTGTGACTTGCAGATCCTCCATTCTAGTGCTGGCACCAGGCTCCTCCCTGGGGCCTGCAGGGCAGGCTTGCGTCTCTGGTTCTGTCCCAGGGCCTCCTGCATTTGTGTTTTCAGCCTCTAGGCTGTGTACAGCTTGGCTTGGGAGTGGAGCTGAGATTTTCTAGGTCCTTGGCCAGGAAGGACCTGGGCCAGCTTTCTCCCTCTAGGTTGCTGGGTTGGGGGAAAGGGATAAAGATTCTTCTAGTCCAAATCGTCATGTGTTTGCCGCTTCACTGGAAGGCTGCAGGGGAGCCAGCTGTCCCAGCTTCTCACTCACTTCCCGTCCCTCCAGTTGTATAGGTTTCTGGCCAGAAGAACCAATTCCACATTCAACCAGGTTGTGCTGAAGAGGTTGTTTATGAGTCGCACCAACCGGCCTCCTCTGTCCCTTTCCCGGATGGTGAGTGGCTGGCCAGAGAGCATGGTGGACCTGGGAGCCACTGCGTCTTGTCTGTCTGGAAAGGAGGGAGGACTTCGAGCTCTGGGAGCAACCGGGGCATCACGGGTTTGTCTCAGCCAGCCACGAGCGGAGAGCTTGGACTGTTGGTTGGAACTGAGTGTTCATGGGCAGCGGGCGAGGCTCCTGGGCCTCCTCTCCTCATTGTGAGGTGGAGGTGTCCTGATGGCTTCAGGAGATTCCCCCAAGGCCCCAAGTCATAACTGAGTTTTATGTCAAAGGCCCTGCTGAGGGAGGCCTTCTGAACAGTCTGCATTGTTTTTATCTAGAGCTTTCCCCAGTGGGACCTGAGGGAGGCCTGTGGGGTTTAAGGGGTGTGGTGTGAGTGGGGGGTCCTGTTAGAGGGCACGGCTGCCCTGGTCTTGGGATGCCTGAAGCGGGGCTGGATGTAAACACCAAAAGGACTTACGATGTGCATCCTCCCCACCCCAAGATCCGGAAGATGAAGCTTCCTGGCCGGGAAAACAAAACGGCCGTGGTTGTGGGGACCATAACGGACGACGTGCGGGTTCAGGAGGTGCCCAAACTGAAGGTGAGTGGCGGGGGCGGGCACACCCATCAGGCCCGTGCTGTGCTGTGCTGTGCTTGTCCTTCCTCAGTCTTGCCCCCTCTGCTGAGGCAAGCATCCTGCCTGTCCGAGTGGCTTTGAGGGTTGGAGTGGGTCGTCTCTGGGGTTATTGATGGTGGGGTCCCCTGGGCAGGCTTCTTCTGGGGCAGGTTGTAAACTGT